TCTGCAGAGACAGGGGCCCACCACACCGGGGGGGGGGTTGTCCCCATCTTGGATGATTAATATAGGTATAGCACCGTACCATTGGAAGGTTTTATTGTGATTTTAAATGTTCTATTTATTATATACTGTATTGCATTTTGCACTCGGCTTTGCCGCACGTGAGCCGCCCTGAGCCTTTGGGAGGGCAGGATATAAATCAAACTAATAAATAAATAATAATAAATAAATAATAATTAACTGGAGATTTCAGGAGTGGAGACTGAGGAGCACGGGGTTTGGGGAGGCGAGGGATTTTAATGGGATATAATAATGCCATAGAGACCACCTGGAGATCAAGTGTAATGCCAGGGGACCTCCAGCCACCGCCTGGAGACTGGCAACCCCGGGAGAGAGAGATTGGCTCTCCCCCCCACCATCACCCCATGCCTTCTCTCTCTCTCTCTCTCTCCTTCCCCAACCACCCCCCCCAGCAGCCAGGAGGCTGGGGAGAAGAAGAGATTGGATTTATACCCCGCCCTTCACTCGGAGTCTCAGAGCGGCTTCCAAACTCCTTCCCCTCCCCCTCCCCACAACAGACACCCTGTGAGGTAGGTGGGGTTGAGAGAGGTCTCCCGAGAACTGCCCTTGAGAGAACAGCTCTGAGAGAACTTGTGACTGACCAAAGGTCACACCAGCAGCTGCATGTGGAGGCGTGGAGAATCAAACCCCATCCTCCCAGATTAGAGGAAGAAGAAGAAGAGACTGGATTTATACCCCACCCTTCACTACCCGAAGGAGTCTCAGAGCGGCTTTCAATCTCCTTCCCCTTCCCCTCCCCACAACAGGCACCCTGTGAGGTAGGTGGGGCTTTTGGGAACTGCTGTGAGACAACAGCTCTGAGAGAACTTGTGACTGAGCCAAGGTCACGCCAGCAGCTCCAGGCGGAGGAGTGGGGGAATCAAACCCGGTTCTCCCAGATTAGAGTCCGTGCTCCTAACCAGGACACCAAACTGGCTCTCAAAGGGAAAGGATAGCCTCCCTGCCATTTCTGGTCAGTTTCACTCCCCTCACCTGCAGGGAGGGAAACTGACCAGAAGCTGCAGGGCCCTTTCCCATTCTTTCCCCAGCCTCCCCGCCGCTGTGGGGCTAGGGTGTCTGGCATCATCAGGTGGTGGGGCAGGGTTCGTGGGCGGTGGGGCTCCACCCCCCAATGCTCCTCCGTGGCTACGGGCCTGTCCACAGTGCAATCACACACTGAAGTTACTTCAGTCTAAGCCCACTGGATTGGACCAGTTTAGGCTTGGGCAACTCTGTCTAGGATTGTGCCTTTCTGCATAGGTTTGATTCCAAGGAGCTTAGACTAGAATAATCCAGCCTAGTGTCACACTGTTACATCCGTAAACCCTTGCCTGTTCTGAAAGTCCCCAGTAAGTAACACAATGGGAAAGCTTCCTTAACTAATCTGGTTAAGGATGAATAGCTGTGCTGGATCCTGTGCCAGATCATAAGAACATTAAGGCCTCTCTGCCCTGTTGTTGGTCCTCCAGAGGAACTGGTTGGCCCCTGTGTGAGACGGGATGCTGGACTAGATGGACCCTCACTGGTCTGATCCAGCAGGGCTCTTCTGATGTTCTTATGAAGGCCTCGGCCTCTGTGCTCTGTTGTTGGCCTTCCAGAGGAACTGGCTGGCCCCTGTGTGAGACGGGATGCTGGACTAGATGGACCCTCACTGGTCTGATCCAGCAGGGCTCTTCTGATGTTCTTATGAAGGCCTCGGCCTCTGTGCTCTGTTGTTGGCCTTCCAGAGGAACTGGCTGGCCCCTGTGTGAGACGGGATGCTGGACTAGATGGACCCTCACTGGTCTGATCCAGCAGGGCTCTTCTGATGTTCTTATGAAGGCCTCGGCCTCTGTGCTCTGTTGTTGGCCTTCCAGAGGAACTGGCTGGCCCCTGTGTGAGACGGGATGCTGGACTAGATGGACCCTCACTGGTCTGATCCAGCAGGGCTCTTCTGATGTTCTTATGAAGGCCTCGGCCTCTGTGCTCTGTTGTTGGCCTTCCAGAGGAACTGGCTGGCCCCTGTGTGAGACGGGATGCTGGACTAGATAGAACGCTGGTCTGATCCAACAGGGCTCTTTTGATATTCTTCTCAGGGTAAGGCCTCGGATTCTATGTCCTGTGTTTGGCCCTCAAAGAGGAACTGATTGGCCACTTTTAACCTAAGGAACATTTTATTTGGAACATTTGGCTGTACAATCTCAGAATATACAGTTGACCAGAGAGAAGTACCACTGGACATGTGATTACACTGGAGGCTTCATTTGTATGGAACAATTGATTTCTGGTCTTTATTCCATATTTTGTATATGTAGGATTGTATGTATTTTTGCACATCAGCCAATATGTTCTGTATGTATTAGACCTCTGAGGAAGGCCTGTAAAGGCCGAAACGCGTTAGGTCTATCTTATTAGGTCTATCTTATTAGCCCTTGTATGTTTTTATAGTTTTATGTGAGGTATGAATGGGCCCTTGTTTGTTATTTTAATTTGTTGAATAAACACACACATATATTTTTCTATATTTTATAATTAGATTTTTAGAGTTGGCCCTTTTCTATTCCTGACTAACCTTTTTAGGTTCTGGCCACTGCCTGAGACAGGATGCTGGACTAGATGGACCACTAGTCTAAACCAGCAGGCCTCTTCAGATGTTCTTATCAGGAGAAGGGCTTGGCCTCCATGCCCTGTAATGTCGGCCTTCCAAAGGTATTGGTTGAGGCCCCTGTGTGAGACGGGATGCTGGACTAGATGGACACTCACTGGTCTGATCCAGCAGGGCTCTTCTGATGTTCTTATGAAGGCCTCGGCCTCTCTGCCCTGTTGTTGGCCCTCCAGAGGAACTGGCTGGCCCCTGTGTGAGACGGGATGCTGGACTAGATGGACCCCTGGTCTGATCCAGCAGGGCTCTTCCAATGTCCTTATGTTCATGAACAGGAAGAGTGGAGAACTGGCCGTTTGCTAGAATGCTGAATTTGGCTGGCGGGCTGGGCGGCAAAGCTTCCAAAGAGCCTTCTGATAAAGCCATGAGCCTTTCATGACTGGGGAAGCCAGCCCCCCCTCGTGCAAAAACACCCTACCTCGTTGGAACTCCCGTTATGATCGAGGCCTGGCACCTCCGAACCGGCGCTGGCAATCAAGGAGGACTGGCCCAAGGCTCTCACGGCGCTGGCTCGCACGTAGCTCTCCGGGTCGTCTAGGAGGCCTTCGGCGAGCGCCATCACTTCCGAGGAGGACAGCGCCTGCCGGAACCACTCTTGCCCTGCGGAGACAGAACAGCCGTGCCAAAAAGCGTGGCCAAGAGCCGTCCAGCTGGCCCGCTCGGAGATAGGCCATCTCTCTCTCTGCTGTGAAGGGTGCCCGTTCAGGACGGATGGTAGCAAATTGAGCATTGGCTCTGGACAGATTCTACAGAGCCTGGATATGGGAGCGGTGGCACAGAGGATTTATCCTCTGGTTATAATAGTAACATCTGAGCTGAACAGACTCGCTGTCAGTTCTAGCCCCGCGCTGGTGTGAGCGACCAGCCCTGCCCCCAGCTCGCCGTCTACCCAGCGGTTCGAAAGCTCCGGCGAGTAGATAAAATGGGTACCACTCCTTAGAGAGGGTGGGCACACTGAACCCCCCCCGTGGGGTGGAGCGGTGTTAGCCGGCGAACGGAAGTCCAGCTCGCAAGATTGGAAAGCCTAGAGAGATCTCCTCGGCATGAAGAAAAGCCTGTAATGGACCTTTCCGGCCAGGCGGTGGCAGTGCGGCGCTACAACTCGAATGAGTCTGGAGAAAAGCGGATGCCATCAAACCAGGCCGAGGAAAAATGCCGTCCGGATCACGTCTCATCTTCAGCTGAACGAAACCCTTGTCGGCAGCAAATGTGTGAGAATTAAGACGTGTATATGTTGTCCTCCCCTGCCCCACAAATCATTGTTAGTCCCTCGTAATATTGAGTAACTGTAAATCGCTCAGAGCCAGCAAGCTCTCCAGGATTGAGCGATCAATAAATTGAAAGATGATGATGATGATGATGATGATTATTGGCACATCCCAGTGCTAGGGTGGTGAACATGGAGGTAGCACCTGGGGATCTTCTGCTATTACAATCGATCTCAGGAAAACTTAGGTCAGTCCCCTTGGGGGAAAATGGCTACCTTGGAGGGTGGACTCTAAGGCATTGTATCCTCTGGAAGTCCCTCCCCTCCCCAAACCCCGCCCCCCGCAGGCTCTGCCCCCAGATCACCCAGTATTTCCCAACTGAGAACGGCAGCCCTACCCAGGGCTCAGATTCTCTGTACGTGTTTAGGAAACCTTCTGGTGGGAATATGGATGTTAACTGAGCAGCGGCCCACCAGCTGCCTCTAGAACTTTCCGTGCCGGGGGCAGTGGGACAAGCAGGCCTTTCTCTCCCCGGTATGTGGAGACAGACTGAGTCTGAAAATGGAAGCAGGATGGAAGGCGAGATGTGTAGTCCAAAATCATCAGGGGGTGAAATGTCAGAGGTTACGTAGGGTCGGTACCTGGACACGAGACCACCAAGGAAGGCTCTGCAGAGGAAGGCGATGGCCAACCATCTCTGCTTCTCCCTTGCCTCAAAAGCCCCTTGCTGGGGCTGCCTTAAGTTATAAGCTAAGCAGGGTTGGTACTTGGAAGGGAGACCACCAAGAAAGACTCTGCAGAGGAAGGCCATGGCCAATACTCACTGGCTTTGAAAGCCCCTTCCTGGGGTCACCTTAAGTTATAAGCTAAGCAGGGTTGGTACTTGGAAGGGAGACCTCCAAGGAAGGCTCTGCAGAGGAAGGCAATGGCAAACCACCTCTGCTTCTCACTTGCCTTGAAAGCCCCTTGCTGGGGTCGCCATAAGTTTTGGATGGGAGATTGCCAAGGAAGACTCTGCAGAGGAAGGCAATGGAAAAACACCTCTGCTTCTCCCTTGCCTTGACAGCCCCTTGCTGGGGTGGCCTTAAGTTTTAAGCTAAGCAGGGTCAGTGCTTGGAAGGGAGACCACCAAGGAAGATTCTGCAGAGGAAGGCGATGGCCAACTACCTCTGCTTCTCACTGGCCTCAAAAACCCCTTGCTGGGGTCGCCATAAGTTGGTTATGATTTGATGGCACATACATATCTACATCGTTTACTATGAAGCATGAAAAGGGGGCATGAGCAATGCTCTCAACGCATCCTCATTCTTTCACAGTTTCAATTTTGACTACATCCAAGAACAGGACGGGGAGTTTCGTTCCTTCCTCGCCAAATTCGTCCTCCAGTTTCTTGACCCGTCTCTCTCTCGGTTGTGATTTGACAGCAAGTATGTATGCACGGAACCCTGTGAGCTCCAATCACTGGCTTAGAGCCCCCCCCCTTTGAATAGCCACTCTGTGCCCAGAACAGCCGCCGTTCCCCTGCTTACCTTTTAAGTGCTTCATCACCAGAGTGAGAAACTCCAGGGTGGAGTCCCGGACTTCCCACCTGGGGCTGCACAGGCGTTTCTGCAACAGGGGCATCAGATCTGCAAAAGGCAAGGGGGAAGACCGGACTAGCCATGGAAAGGCCACACAGAAAGCTCCTCTTGCCTACAGAATGTATGGTCCCAAGCTGTGCTCCAAAGAGAGAGTGTAAGGAACACACACACACCTTTCTAAGTTGCCCCAAACTTTCTACAGGAAGAACAAGGTATTTTATTCCCAATGTATGTAGAAAAAGAAGAGATTGGATTTCTACCCCGCCCTTCACTACCCGAAGGAGTCCCGGAGCGGCTCACAATCTCCTTTGTAGAGAGCCAGTTTGGTGTCGTGGGTTAAGTGCGCGGACTCTAATCTGGGAGAACCGGGTTTGATTTCCCCACTCCTCCGCTTGCAGCTGCTGGATGACCTTGGGCAAGCCATAGTTCTGAGAAGAGCTGTTCTCTCAAGGGCAGTTCTCTCTCAGAGCTCTCTCAGCCCCACCCGCCTCCCAGGGTGTCTGTTGTGGGGAGGGGGAGGGAAAAGGAGTTTGTAAGCTGCTCTGAGACTCCCTTGGGTTGTGAAGGGCGGGGTCGGAATCCAATCCCTTCTTTTTCTTCTTCTTCTGAGATCTGATGAGATCAGGCATGAAAGGATATCGGAGGCAGAGAGCAAGATGAGACCACCTCTTTTGACAGCAGTCAAACTCCCCCTTTCCACCTGTGGTTCACCAACAGACCAGAGTCTGTGGAAGATGCTCTGGTTTCAGGGGAGTGACAGTCTGCAGGGACCATGAGAAGCACACCGAGAAGAACCCGGACTCATTTAATCAGAACGTCCAGCTAATTTAGTCATCGCTGGTGGCAACATTTCGGTCTAGACCAGGGATTCCCAGTGTGGTGCCTGCCGACAATTTTCCTGGCACCCACCAAGTGCTGTTAGAATAGTGGGCATGGCTGGGTGGGGCTTTCACACTGCAAGATTTCTGATTGGCTACTGGAGATCTTACTGACAGCCAGTTTGGTGTGGTGGTTAGGAGCGCGGACTCTAACCTGGGAGAACCGGGTTTGATTCCCCACTTTTCCACATGCAGCTGCTGGCGTGACCTTGGGTCAGTCACAAGTACTCTCGGAGCTGTTCTCTCACAAGCAGTTCTCGAGAGAGAGCTCTCTCAGCCCCACCTACCTCACAGGGTGTCTGTTGCGGGGAGAGGAAGGGAAGGAGATTGCCAGCCGCACTGAGACACTGAGTCAAGGGCAGGGTCTAAATCCAACTTCTTCATCATCACAGTTCTCTCAGAGCTCTCTCAGCCCCACCTACCAGTTTGGTGTAACGGTTAGGAGCACGGTCTCTAATCTGGGTGGCCTGGGTTTTATTCCCTACTCCTCTACATGCAGCTGCTGGTGTGACCTTCGGTCAGTCACAAGTTCTCTCAGAGCTGTTCTCTCAAGGGCAGTTCTTGAGAGAGCTCTGTCAGCCCCACCAACCTATGTTGTGGGGAAGGGAGATTGTAAGCTGCTCTGAGATTCCTCCGAGGCGTGAAGGGCAGGGTATAAATCCAATCTCTTCTTCTTCTGACTCTGCCGATTTTTCTAAATGTTACTTTGGGAGGAGCTCTCACCACAGCACAAAGAACTTCACTGTGTGACTGGAGGTTACGTTGCGGCAGCCATTTTGTGGATGGCTCCGCTTCCTGTGGTGGCCATTTTGTGCCTCTGCCCACCGCACTGCCTGAGAATTCCAAGGAGGCTCACAGGGCTCGCCGCCGGCCTCCCTTTTCCTTTACCTCTGAGAAACTGTTTGTGCCACGGGAAGCCATCGGTGGAGCCAGATGTTTCCGAGAAGCTCAGACACCATTTCAGTGTCACTTGGAAAGCCGTCTTCAGAACCTGGAAAAGGGCACAAAAACAGAGCTTTAGATGTTCACTGAGGAAAGCGACTCCAGTTCGGTTAACGGGGAGAAGAGTGACCAGAGAAATCCATTCAGGGGGGTAGCCCTGTTGGTCTGAAGCCACAGTCCAGGGGCACCTTTAAGACCAACAAAGTTTAATTCAGGGTATCAGCTTTTGTGTGCAATTCAGTGTTCCTTCTAAGCTGAGTTAGTGTGAGCTAGCTCACAGTTTTTTAGCCTCCAGCTCACACATTTCTGTCTCCGCTCAGGAAGGAGGGCTCCAGAGCAAGCTAATTGATGCAGCAGCCAAATCGCTCGCTCACAACTTTAAGGCCAGCAGCTCACAAAGGAGAATTTTTGCTCACAAGACTCCGCAGCTTAGAGGGAACATTGGTGTGCATGCACGCTTCTTCAGATACATGTACCTGAAGCAGTGTGTGTGCACACGGAAGCTTATACCGTGAATAAAAGATACATTCAGTTTTGTCTTTGCACATCTTCATCATGGTACATGTTAATTTGCTGTTCAGCCTCTGTCTAGAAGTTTGGACCTTACCTTCCATTCCAATGTACTTGCACACGAAAGCTCGTACCTCGAATAAAGACTTTGTTGGTCTTAAAGGTGCCACGGGACTCTAATTGAGTCTACAACTAGTCACTCGTCTTGTTTTATAATAACGTACGGATGAGCCCTAGTTCTCTAGTTCCAGCTCCTGCCAACCGAGCAGTTCGAAAGCAAGAAATTGCAAGTAGATAAATAGGTAGAAGAAGAAGAAGAGATTGGATTTATACCCCGCCCCTCACTTGGAGTCTCAGACTGGCTTACAAACTCCTTTCCCTTCCCCTCCCCACAACAGACACCCTGTGAGGTGGGTGGGGCCGAGAGAGCTCTGACACAAACTGCTCTTTTTCAAGGACAGCTGTGCCAGAGCTTGTGACTGACCCAAGGTCACATCAGCAGGTGCAAGTGGAGGAGTGGGGAATCAAACCCGGTTCTCCCAGATTAGAGTCCGCACACTTAACCACGACACTAAACTGGCTCTCAGAGGTACCGCTTTGGTGGGAAGGGAACAGCGTTCCGTGCGCCTTGGTGTTTAGTCATGCTGGCCACATGACCATGGAGACGTCTTTGGACAGCGCTGGCTCTTCGGCTTTGAAACGGAGATGAGCACCGCAACCCTAGAGTCGGATTCGACTGGCTTTCGAGCAAGGGAGACCTTTACCTTTACTTTAAGGATGAGCCCAGTTGAAATTGGTGACATGAGATTATTTTAAGGGTTGCTACTCAATGCTCCCTCTAAGCTGTGGAGTCGTGAGCAAAAATTCCACTTTGTGAGCTACTGGCATTAAAGTCGTGAGCAGGCGATTCGGTTACTGCATAAATCGGTTTGCTGTGGAGCCATCCCTCCCTGAGCGGAGACAAAGATGTGTGAGCTGGAGGCTAAAAAACTGTGAGCTGGCTCACACTAACTCGGCTTAGAGGGAACACTGTTGCTATTGCTATTTCTCTCTGTTAATGATAATTGTGAAATCCAGACGTCGTTTTACCAAGTAAAGTATAGTGGCCTATATATCACGGTGATTGTTCCTTGTATTTAGTACGATGCTGGAGGTGAGTAGCTGTCAATCTGGCACCCCTTCTTGGGTTTAGTTGCCATGGAGATGGGGGGGTGGTTGAGAACAAGAATGTATACTTTTGTTTCTGGCCACCATGCTGCTACCTGTCTCGATGCAGCCATGTAACCTTGAGACCTAAACTGTCTTTGGCATTCTCTTTCCCCTGGGAATTCTATGCCGTTCGTTAGGCGGGCTTTTTAGCTTAATTGTGATTGGCTAAGAGCCACCAATGTCTTATTTGATTGTAGCATAATTGCTCGCTTTGCACGCTTGACCTCAGTTCTAACAAAGAATGGTTAAGAGTCTGGATCCTATCGATGCCTCAATAAACTTTAATTCTTCTGAATGACTGTTAGTGGGAACTGATTTCTCCTGGGCCTCTGACAGCAGCCCTAAGAAGAAAGAGGCCTTGCAAGTGGCAACCGGCTACAAGAAGGAAACCGGCATCGGTGTACATTCAGGATCGGTTTGCCCTACAGCCGCAAGCTGGCTGTGACTCAACGGCACATTCCACCGCCGGGATCAGTTTAAGAATCGATCGCTTCGTGCTTACAGTCGGGCTGGCATCTGGACTCCGCAGGTAGACGAGAAGGATGTCAAAGGTCTCTTCCGGGGATACGTCGCGATCTGCAAGGGGGAACAAAGCACACCCAAAAGACACCCTTCGGAATGTATTCCGTCACGAATAAACTGAATTCCTGGAAATAACAGTTCAGCCGCAGATGGGGTTGCCACTCCCCAGGTGGCACCTGGAGATGTCCCAGAATTACAATGGACCTTCATATGACCACGATCAGTCCCCCTGGGGAAAACGGCTGCTTTGAAGGGTGGACTTCATGGCATTATACCCCTCCGAGTCCCCTCCCCTCCTCAGCCTCCACCCCTAAAATCTCCAGGGATTTCCCAACCTAGAACAGGCAACTCTAATTGCAGATACTTTAAAACGACACCTCTTGATAGGAAAGAGGGGGCTGGTGTGAAGGACGCCTCTCTTTAAAATCCCGCCCATCAAACCGCATCTTAATTTTGCGGCTAGGAAACACAGATTCCGAGATGGGAGATCTCAGCGTTGTAATCACCCTACTAGCTTGATTTGATCAAGAGCCCACCAATTTGTCTTTCTGGCGGCCCACAGGATCCATAAAACCTTCCTCCAGCACCACATTTCAAAGCACTGTCTATCAATACAGTCCATCTAGCATCACAGCAACCCGGAGCGAGGTTTTTGAATGCTCAGAAATTGTGATTTCTTTGAAAGCAGAGCGGTACCTTAAGGGATTATGTCCAAATTCCCTGCAACCAAAATCTGTCGAATCACAAATTGGCATTTCTTCAAACAAATCACCAGAGCACCATGCGCCACGGAAACCATTCGAATGTTGCAACAGAATATGAAAGCGGAAGGAGAGGGAAAAGCTACTCACTCGCCCACCGAGAGAGGGCTCCGAGGAGATGGAGTGCGGCCCGTTGGACGCGGGAGCAGCCGATAAGGATCTTGCCAATCGTCGCTCCCAGGGTGCAGGTTGGCACAGCGAGGCCAGCACAGACCCGTAACACAGTCACTGTAGCATGCAGCAAAGGATTGTGGGGGAAATCCATAGGCGGGTGGGCCTGGTGGGAGATTGATCCTTGCATTACTTGAAGAAGAGGAAGATGAGGGAAACGAGATTGGATTTATACCCCGTCCTTCCCCTGAGAAGCCTCAGAGCGGCTTACAAACTCCTTTCCCTTCCCCTCCCCACAACAGGCACCCTGTGAGGTAGGTGGGGCTGAGAGAGCTCTGAGAGAGCTGGTCCTGACCCAAGGTCATCCAGCTGGCTGCACGTGGAGGAGAACATTCAGAACATTTAGAACACTCAGTTGACAAGAGGGAATCACCAGTAGAGTCTCTTGAACCACCCGTGACCATACTAGAGACTCTAATGGCGATTCCCTCTTGTCAACTGAGCGTTCTTAATTATAAGAAATACAGAGCTACTTTGCTTCGCTATTGTACTTCCTGAATATTTGAGTCATAAGCGGATGTTTGAAGCAGTGTTCCGTCTCAGCTCAGTTAGTGTGAGCTAGCTCACAGTTTTTTTAGCCTCCAGCTCACAGATTTTTGTCTCAGCTCAGGAAGGAGGGCTCCAGAGCAAACTAACTTATGCGCCAGCCAAACCGCTGGCTCACCACTTTCATGCCAGCAACTCACAAAGAAGGATTTTTGCTCACAAGACTGCACAGCTTAGAGGGAGCGTTGGTTCGAAACTGTAAAATCTGATGGAGATTACAGACACGGGATTCTATTACCAGCTCCCTGTAGTCTTGCCAGCTTTTTTTGTTTGTTTTGTTTTGCTATTTTTGGAAATAATTAGAATTTCCTGAAGTCTTACGCTCTTGTAAAATTTGTGTATTGTGTATTGTGTTTCACAGTTTAGTTGTATACAGTGTGCCTTTCACTAAACAGAACTACGGTTTATATCATTTAAGATATTCCTCTCAGTTAATGTGTAACTTTACTATATACGGTGCTTCAGCTATTGTATAAACACTGATCACAGATGAGGCGGTCCATTCTTGGGGGGGGAGCAGTCTACGCATTCGCTTCATCTACACCCTGCCTTTCTCATCCGTGGGGATCCAAAGCGTCTGACACAGTTCGCCTCTCCTCTCATTTTATCACAACAACCCTGTGAGGTAGGTCAAACTGAGAGACACTGACTGGCCTACGGTCACCCAGCCAGCTTCCATGGCAGAGTGGGGATTCAAACCTGGGTCCTAGTCCAGTGATGGCAAACCTTTTAGAGACCGAGTGCCCAAGCTGCGACCCAAAACCCACTTATTTATCGCAAAGTGCCAACATGGCAATTTAACCTGAATGCTGAGGTTTTACTTTAGAAAAAACAACTCATATATTAACTTAAGATGATCCAAACAAAGTAAGGAACGAAATCCCAAAGGCTTTCATTGACTCAAAATTATTTGGCAGAGAATTCAACACTTTAATGATGGTCTGGGCCTGGCTGGGGCGATGGCACGTGTGCCCGCAGAGAGGGCTCTGAGTGCCACCTCTGGCACCCGTGCCATAGGTTCGCCACCACTGGCCTAGTCTGACACTCTAAGTGCTTACACCGTGCTGGCGGCCATGTTTTATCAAGGCCTGTGCTCTCTGTAAATCCCGTCTTCGGCGCCACAGCTTGATTCTCCCTGAAGAGCTCTGCTCCTTTCAATCCTCTAGAACGACACTTGATGGATTTACGGATTACGAGCCTGGCCCAGCCTGATCTTGTCGGATCTCGGAAACCAAGCCGGGTCGGCCTTGGCTAGTTTTTGGAAGGCTGACCTCCAAGGAATACCAGGGTAATGAAGCAGAGGCAGGCAATGGCACGCCACCTCTGAAACGTCTTCTTGCCTCAAAAAGGAGTCTAGCTCGCCACCTAGTGGTGCATAACGCTAAGAGAGCTAGAACTTCTGGCTGCCAGACAATCTTAGGATCTCCTGGTTATATCACGCACACTGCCATACGATAATAATAATAATTATTATTACCTCCCTGGGAATATAAACTTTGATCTCAGCTGGACTGACACCTGCCTTCCCTGGGAGCTCTCCTAGGTGCTGAAGCGTCTCCAGAACCTGCTTCCTGGTCATTCCAGGAATTCCCTTTGGCATCCTGCAGGCACACAGCCTGGCAAGAACAAATTTTGTCCTAGCTGCCTGCAGGACCCTTTGCTCTTCTGTGTAACTAGAAGCAGCGGAACGAGCTATGCAGAGCCAGCATGGTGGAGTGGTTAAAGTGTCAGACTACGGTCTGGGAAATCCAAGTCTGAATCCCCGCTTGTGCCATGGAAGCTCGCTGGGTGACCTTGGGCCAGTCACCCGCTCCCAGCCTGACCTACCTCACAGGGTTGTTGTGAGACTAAAACGGAGGAGAGGAGAATGATGTCAGCCGCTCTGGGTTGGGGAGGAAGGCAAGATATAAATAAAGTAAATAAATAAGATGTACTTGGGCCTTTGGGGAATAAACACTGGAATAAATGCATAATAAAGATAGAGCGTATCTGTGTATAAACATAGCAAGGTGCAAACTGGGCATTCTGAGCCGAACCAGGCTGAATTACACGATGCACATCAGATTGCATCATGTGGCCTGGCTCGGCTCGGATTGTTTTGTTTTAAACATAAAAATACATAGATGCCTATCTGTGTATAAACATAGCTAGGTGCAAATTGTGCATTCTGAGCCGAGCCAGTCTGAATTATGCAATGCACATCAGATTGCGTAATGCGGCCTAGCTCGGCTCGGAATGTTTTAAGCATAAAAATACGTAGATAAATATCTATGTATAAACATACATGGTGCAAAATGTACATTCTGAGCAATGCTCCCTCTAAGCTGTGGAGTCTTGTGAGCAAAAATTCTGCTTTGTGAGCTACTGGCATTAAAGTTGTGAGTGAGCGATCTGGCTACTGCATCAATTAGCTTGCTCTGGAGCAATGCTCCCTCTAAGCTGTGGAGTCTTGTGAGCAAAAATTCTGTTTTGTGAGCTACTGGCATTAAAGTTGTGAGTGAGCGATCTGGCTACTGCATCAATTAGCTTGCTCTGGAGCAATGCTCCCTCTAAGCTGTGGAGTCTTGTGAGCAAAAATTCTGCTTTGTGAGCTACTGGCATTAAAGTTGTGAGCGAGCGATTTGGGTGCTGCATAAATTAGTTTGGTCTGGAGCCCATCCTTCCCGAGCTGAGACAAGAATCTGTGAGCTGGAGGCTAAAAATCTGTGAGCTAGCTCACACTAACTCAGCTTAGAAGGAACACTGATTCTGAGCCAAACCAGGCTGAATTACACGATGCACATCAGATTGCATAATGCGGCCTGGCTCGGCTCGGAATGTTTTGTTGCAAGCATAAAAATCCGTAGATGCGTATCTGTGTACAAACACAGCGAGGTGCCAACTGTGCATTCTGAGTCGAGTCAGGCTGAATTATGCGATGCACATCAGATCACGTAATTCAGCCTGGCTCAGCTCGGAATGTTCTTTTAAAAACGTCAGCAGATGCAACATATAGTCCTCAATGCGCCACACGGAGCGACGGAAACCATCCCTTCCACTGCTACTGTCTTTCTCTATACCGTACCAGGTGCTGGATCTCCTCAAGGTGAGCCAGGGACTGGCACAGGAGACTGATGCACGAGGACCGTGAGGAGAGAAGAGATTCCACGGAGGCACCTTCAGCAGGCGGCTGATCCAGCAGACCTGGGGGTGGGGAGAGAAAGGACACTGCCGTCCAGTTGCTTCCTCCAGAACCTGCTCTCCAGCTGGGAGACATTCCCGGTGTTTCGATCTGGACCCCGACTGCATCCGATCGCCAGGTATTCAGACATCAAGGGAAGAAATCCCAAAAGGGGAAGGCCGGTTTGGTTCAGACAATGAAGTCACATCCAAAGTTCCCTCTAAGCTGTGGAGTCTTGTGAGCAGAAATCCTACTTTGTGAGCTGCTGGCATTAAAGTTGTGAGCAGGTGATTTGGCTACTGCATAAATTAGTTTGTTCTGGGGCCATCCTTCCTGAGTGAAGACCAAAATATGTGAGCTGGAGGCTAAAAGACTGTGAGCTAGCTCACACTAACTCAGCTTAGAGGGAACACTGGTCACGCCCCGAAGTAGCATCGTACCTGAGAGCTCCGAGGAGTGAGAGGAGGCTCTTGCGACGCAGGCCACTGGCTGGAGCAGGATACGCAGACCTTGAGTCTTAACGGCCTGGGGGCTGAAGAAGAAAATGTTGGATATTGTAACTCTGCATGCGAGAGGAAAGAGTTAAGAGGATTCTCTGCTCGGACACTCGGCAGTTGGTCCCCTCCCTCTCATCGGTTAGATGCTGAGCCGCTCCTCTTCTCTTTCTTACACGGGCTGTAGCAAGTTAACCTTTTTGAAGTTAACCTGTTTGCGATAAGTTAAATGTACCTACATTAACATGTCACGGAAGATGTGCTTCTATTTCTGCAAGTAAAATTTCTTTCTCTAGTTACCGTCGGAGTCAGATCACCTTTGTCATTTGTTTGAAACAGCATTCTCCCCTAACCGAGAAACGGGGTGGGTCAGGGATACTGCAAAAGGTACATTCTGAGCAATGCTCCCTCTAAGCTGTGGAGTCCTGTGAGCAAAAATTCTGCTTTGTGAGCTACTGGCATTAAAGTCGTGAACGAGCGATTTGGGTGCTGCATAAATTAGCTTGGTCTGGAGCCTTCCTTCCTGAGCTGAGACAAGAATCTGTGAGCTGGAGGCTAAAAATCTGTGAACTCACACTAATGATGTTGGTTCTTACCATTCCTCGAGTTTCAGGAGTCCCAGCGCCAGGAAGCCGGCTTGAGTTGGGTGTAAGCATTTCAGGGCAAGGGTAACCAGTTGCCAGAGGCTGCCTTCGTGACAGCTAAACACGGGAGATCTGCGGGAGAGAGAGAGAGAGAGAAAGAAAGAATGATTCAAGTGCACATGTGAAAGGTACAGCTGTGGAGTCTGTCTTTCATCCCCTCTTGCGGCTCCTGTTCACGTAGAAACGTTCCAAAGGCAGCTCAGCAATACCAGTTCTCTCAAAACCCAGCAGCTGGCTTTGTGGGAGGAGCCAGCCGACAAGAACACGAGTCCCCTCCTCTACCAGTTCCCAAGTCACAGCACTGCATTTTGACCTGGGTCTAGACTGCCTCTTCCTTTATGGGCCTCCCCTGCCGCATCCAGTCAGCGAACCTGAACTTAACACTTTTAACAGCTCTGCCTCCACAAACAACAGAGTTCTCCTGAATTTCTCTTATTAAAGCGAATTTCCAAGTCCGCCCCACATGATGGGCCCGCCTGTGTTTGAGGTCTGATGAAGGTGAGGAGCAGGGCCTTTTGGGTAGTGGCACCCTCATTATCTCCTGCCAACCTAGCAGTTCGAAAGCAAGAAATTGCAGGTAGATAAATAGGTACCACTTCGGTGGGAAGGTAACAGCGTTCCGTGTGCCTTGGTGTTTAGTCATGCCGGCCACATGACCACGGAAACGTCTTCGGACAGCGCTGGCTCTTCGGCTTGGAAACGGAGATGAGCACCGCAACCCTAGAGTCGGATTCGACTGGCTTTCGAGCAAGGGAACCTTTACCTTTACCCTCATTATGGAAGTTTTTCCCATGCTGGCTCTCAAAGACTAGCTGTGGCCAGGTAAAGCACTAGCAATTTACAACCTTTAATTCTGATAATACATAAGAATAAGGAGGCTGAGTTTGGGTCTTTGAGTGTAACTGGCAAACCAGCCAGAACACCTGCAGAGACTTTTATCTTTTACAGAGATGAGAAGTTAGTTACTTTAATGAGCTAGACAGAATGAAAAACATGAAAAGGTTAACCTTACAATCACTGTGAAAATAGATGCTAAAATTATCAAAGTGCCTAGCATTGCTTTTTAGCAAGCAAGAGTTTTAAAAGCAAACCAGGTTTCAGCTGTTTGTCTCACCGCTTTTAGGGATAATCAAAAATCCCAAGTTACCCACCAAGAAATCTCACCTATTCTTCTTTTGAGACTTCCACTCAGAGAAATCTGATTTGCTCATCACAGAAGTGCGTATTTATACAGAAATCTCAATTCTTATCTTATCTGTACTTCTCGTCTATTATAATCATGTGATATTATTTAGATAATGGATTGGCTCATAACTAATTAAAAAATAAGCAACAAATGCTGATTGGCTAACATAATCATGTGATATTATCTAGATAACTGATTGGTGGGAAAGAGCAGGTAGAGAAAGAGGTACTTTTCTCCCTTTCTCACAAGACAAGAACTCGTGGGCACGCCATGAAATTGCTGAGCAGTCGGGGTTAGAACGGATAAAAGGAAGTCCTTCTTCACCCAAAGAGTGATTCACACATGGGATTCACTGCCGCAGGAGGTGGCGGCGGCGGCTACAAGCATGGACGGCTTCAAGTGGGAATTGGATAAACACATGGAGCAGAGGTCCATCAGTGGCTATTAGTCACAAGGTATAGATAGGAACTCTCAATCTGGGGCAAAAGATGCTCTGTATTCTTGGTGCTTGGGGGGCAACAGTGGGAGGGCTCCTAGTGTCCTGGCCCCACTGCTGGACCTCCTGACGGCACCTGGTATTTTTGGCCACTGTGTGACAGAGTGTTGGACTGGATGGGCCATTGGCCTGATCCAACATTGGCTTCCCTTATGTTCTCTTGTGTTCTTAACTAAATAAAAGATAAGCAACATATGAGCAAATCCACAGGTGCATATGAGATACAAACGGCAAAGCAAGATAAGAAGGCCCGTCTCAACTTTTAGTCTCTCTTAAAAAAGCAATTAATCTATTTCCCCTCCTGTAACCTGCTCAACTAACTGTCCAAGATGAAAGTCACTTGAAACAGAGTTCCCGGACAGTTAAAAAGTGCTTGAGCTCACAACTAGTTTGTAAAATCAGCAAGAAAAGGCTTAGTGGCATCACGGCTACCGCTGCACCCCAAAATTGCAAGTCCCCCCCCACTTAATGTGGCCCTCCTCTGTTTGAAGTCTGATGAAGGTGAGGAGCAGGGCCTTTTGGGAGGTGGCACCCTCATTACGGAAGTCTTTCCCATACTGGCTCTCAAAGACCGGCCAGGTAAAGCACTAGCGACTGAACCCCTACTCACCTCGCCATGCTCAGAAAGAGGTCCACCAGCGAGTGTCCCGCCTGGGCCGACTCCTCCTCCAGAAGGGACTTGATTGTTCCGTCTATCGAGGACCAAAGGACTTCAGTCCACGCCTCCTGGGTCTGTTCAAACACCGTCGTGAGCATCTTCAGGGAGCAGTTCGCACGGGAGGCTGAGTGCGAGCGGAGAGACTCCTCGAGGCGAGACACGATCCTTCGAGCACATTCCGGCCACTCACTGTCGCCCGTGCCGAGAGGGCAGGAATGTCCCGACTGCACGGAGAATCTGAGCATGCACGCAAGGAGCCGATTGGCTGCCGAGGCGACGAATAAGCTGCGGTCTCCCTGCAGGGTGAAGATCGTGTCTAGGGCTCCTAGGCGAACGACAAGGATGTGGGCAATTGTGGGGTAAGCTGAACACACAAATGAAGGAGAAACGTCTTCATCGCCTTCACTTATACTCGGCCTCTCTCCCCAACGGGGGCTCAAAGGGGCTTGCGTCATTGGCCTCTCCCCCATTTCCCCCTCACAACAACCCTGTCAGGTAGGTTAGGCAGAGAGCGTGTGATTGGCCCAAGGTCATGATCCAACTCACATTAGAGAAATAGCATCCCTCCCCACTGAGTCTCGCTCAGCCAACTAAAGCGCTTAGGGCTCTTTAGCTTGGAGAAACGATGACTGAGGGGTGACATGATTGAAGTTTATAAGATTATGCATGGTAAAGAGCAGGTAGAGAAAGAGGTACTTTTCTCCCTTTCTCACAAGACAAGAACTCGTGGGCATGAAATTGCTGAGCGGTCGGGTTAGAATGGATAAAAGAAAGTCCTTCTTCACCCAAAGAGTGATTAACACGTGGAATTTACTGCCACAGGAGGTGGTGGCGGCTACAAGCATGGACAGCTTCAAGAGGGAATTGGATAAACATACGGAGCAGAGGTCCATCAGTGGCTATTAGCCACAAGGTATAGATAGGGACTCTGGGGCAAGTGATGCTCTGTCTTCTTGGTGCTTGGGGGGGTCAACAGTGGGAGGGCTTCTAATGTCCTGGCCCCACTGCTGGACCTCCTGATGGCACCTGGTATTTCTGGCCACTGTGTGATATAGAGTGTTGAACTGAATGGACCTTTGGCGTCTCTTATGTTCTTAACTCTCAGTCTGGGGCAAGTGATGCTCTGTCTTCTTGGTGCTTGGGGGGGTCAACAGTGGGAGGGCTTCTAATGTCCTGGCCCCACTGGTGGACCTCCTGATGGCCCCTGGTATTTCCCCCTCTTTCTTATAAGAGGGAATTAGATAAGCATATGGAGCAGAGGGCCATCAGTGGCTATTAGCCACAAGGTATAGATAGGGACTCTGGGGCAAGTGATGCTCTGTCTTCTTGGTGCTTGGGGGGGTCAACAGTGGGAGGGCTTCTAATGTCCTGGCCCCACTGGTGGACCTCCTGATGGCACCTGGTATTTCTGGCCACTGTGTGATACAGAGTGTGGGACAGGATGGGCCTTTGGCCTGATCCAACATTGGCCTCTCTTATGTTAACTATCTTCTTTGGTTGCTGCCAAGATCCATTCTTCGGCTCTGGGGGGTTAACTGGGGCACACTACACCCCCCCCCTGGCCACCAGCCCCCCCCCCAAAGCCTTGGCAACGTCCTGTGCCTCCAGCACTCTGATCTAACAGCCAGCAGCCACAAGGCTGTCAGGGTAAAGGAACGCACTCACCAGAGTCGCATAAGAACCGGAAGGCACTGGGGTGCTGCAGCATGTCGTGAGCGCCCTGCACCCAGCCGCTGCGCACGGAGGTGTCTTCCCACAAGGCGCTACTGAGAGGCCCGGCTTCTCCAAAGGCCATGCGCACGGCTTCCCCCTGCTGCCGTCGGGGAAAGAAAAAGACACCGGCGTTTGCTTACCGAAAGTTGACTTCCCTGCTTCTCCCGCACCGTGACTCTCGGCTCCATCGAAAGGGAAGCTTGTAAGTTCCTTCTCAAGAGCCGCCTTCTTCGTGTGGACATCGCCTCCCTCTCTGCCCTGTTGTTGGCCCTCTAGAGGAACTGGCTGTGTGAGACGGGATGCTGGACTAGATGGACCCCTGGTCTGATCCAGCAGGGCTCTTCTGATGTTCTTTTCAGGGGAAGGCCTCGGCCTCTCTGCCCTGTTGTTGGCCCTCTAGAGGAACTGGCTGTGTGAGACGGGATGCTGGACTAGATGGACCCCTGGTCTGATCCAGCAGGGCTCTTCTGATGTTCTTTTCAGGGGAAGGCCTCGGCCTCTCTGCCCTGTTGTCGACCCTTCAGAAGAACTGGCTGGCCACTGTGTGAGCCGGGATGCTGGACAAGACAGACTATTGATCTGATTCAGCCCGATTGTTCTTAAGTTCTTATGCTCACCTGGAGGTGTTGGAAACTACTTTCTGAGGCAGCCAGCAACCCCGCCAGTCTCAGGACGAAGGAAAGGATGGTGGGATTTGGTTCTTCCTGTCTCAGCACAGTAAGGATCAGCTCCGTCAAGCATGGGTTTTCTTCCAACAGCAGCAAGCCAGAACCTGGAGGGAAGAAAAAGCTCCCGAAATTGACCGAGGCCTAATTCAGACATGAGGAACTGGGAAAGCCTGGATCATCCAGGTCAGGGCCGGTGTTCCCTCTAAGCTGAGTCAGTGTGAGCTAGCCCACAGTATTTTAGCCTCCAGCGCACGCATTCTGGTCTCAGCTCAGGATGGAGGGCTCCAGAGCAAACTGATGTCGGCAGGAGCCAAATCACTCGCTCACCACTTCAATGCCAGTAGCTCACAAAGTAGAACTTTTGCTCACGAGACTCCACAGCTTAGCGGGAGCGTTGGTCAGGGCAATGTGATATCGTTAAATGCTAAAAATTCCTTTCAAACACGGGTAAGGAATCCTTTTTTTTTTTAATCCCCATAGGGATATTTTTTATTTTGCATATACTTCAAACTACAAAGAAATATAGGGGAGGGACTACAACTAGGGATAAAGAAAAGCAAGCCACACTAGACTAAAACCCCAAGAGACGGAGATCTTTTCACTGTTAGTAAATATGTTAGTACCATTAGTTTTATTATCACAGTATACTTGTTGAGTTCTGGCTTATAACAATTCGCTTCACCGGTAAGGAATCTTGTAAGATAAAGGGATTTAAAAAAAAGATTGAACTTACCATTGTTGGTTAGCATCTTAAACCAGTCTAGCAGCTTCTCTAGACAGGTGTCATCGGAAACGGGTTGCCGCGAGTCTGCTAGAACAGTACAGACAGAAGGCAGGAGCTGAGAACACTTGGAGTCCATGGCGGGTCTGTGCTTCTCACCATGAAGAACCTGCAATGAAGAGAAAGGTTAGCCTATCTACAGACAGACTGAAATGGGTAACAAAAGCCCTCATAGAAGGGCTTCCCAACACAAGGTTAGAAGACGCCTTACTGGACATCGGCAATCAAATACATCAGGAGGTAAATAACATTCTGCGCCAAGTGGGGAACCCTGCTCTCAGCAACGACAAGGCTGCTTCACTAAAAGGCCAGATTGGGAGCATTGCAGATAAGGACAATGCAGTACGAATGGTAATTGGTAAGTCATAAAAGTGGATTCTTGCATATTTGATGTGATTTTTACACTTGAATATGAGAATGCAGTGTAAGACTGGACTACACAAGCATGGATTTCAGTTCCAGGATGTGAATCATGATCTGTATTTATAATGCTGTGTCTGTCTTTTCTTTGCTATAATTTGAATTCCCATGTTTACAAAATGAGGCAAAAATGTATTCAAAACGGAAAGGAAAAACTAATATTTTAAAGCTTTTTGTACATTGAGATTTCTTTCTCTAGAACAGCAGAGGATGCACACTACATGTTATACACAGTGCTACAGCAGAAGTTGAGAAGATAGGCTAAAATAGGAAACTCTTGAGTGTATGCTAATGAGTTCCTGCTGGGCTTTTTCTACAAAAAGAGCCCTGCTTTCCACGTTGTAATATTAGTAGAAGCTGATGTATAAATGAAGTGGGATCCTGCGCATGTCCACCCCTTGCATATTCTGGAGTAACCCCGTTAATCCCAGTGGAATTTCCTTCTGCTTTAAAATTATCAGGCTGCAGTCCATCCTGCCGGAGATTAACTCCGCAGCAAGTTCCCTTTCGGGTTGCCAGCTTCAGGTTGGGAAATCCCTGGAGATTTGGGGAGATGGAGCTTGGGGAGAGCAGGCCCACTCGCCAAAGCAGCCGTTTTCTCCAGAGAAACTGAGCTCGGTAGTCTGGGGGGCTCAGTTTTGATTCCGGGAGATCTCCAGCCCGCCCGCCCCGGAGGTTGGCAACCCGGGACTCACTGTGCACTCTGCAGAATTGCACGCATTGATGTCAGTGGGCTCAGAGAAGCGCGTGACTCCCTTTCGGACTGCACCGCCGGGCTCCGATTTCGTGCACACTTACCCAGAAGTAAATTCGTTTCAACTCGTCGGGGTTTACTTGTGAGTAGACCCGCCCGGGATGGCTGCCTTACTCCCCGCGTAAACAGGCTTCCGGCCGGATCAAGGCGCGACCCTTCTCCAAGGGGAGGAAACGCATCCGTTCAAGCAAGGGGCTGCTGAGCATGCGCGGTGCAACTTGCGCCGCGAGCATGCTCAGTAGCTGCGACTGAAGCCCCGGCCGCCTTTGCTTTGCCCTCCTTTTGCACGAGATTCCCTGTATTGCTCGAATCGCAGTTCGTTGGCGTTTGGTTTCAGGAATCACACGGGCGTGGATTGTGCGCAGAGGGATATGTAACAAAGTTTGAGTCCAGCAAAAGTTTTATTCAAGGCCAACAGAGTTTTATTCCAGGTATAAGCCTTCGCGCGCACTCACACTTCTTCAGATGTATCCTCATCTGGATCAAATTAAATATGGTTGCATAGAAAATAATCCAGCGTTCGCCTAGAGCGCCGGCGGGCCCTTAAGTTTCTGATGGTCTGGAATTGCCTTAAGCTTTGGAGGGCTTGCGGCTAGTCATGAAAAAGTCTCCCTTTCAAATGTTTCTAGAAATCAGGTGCCTCTAGAAATTAGGGGTACTTTGGGCCACACGTGTGTAAAATATAAGACGTCTAGCTTCTCCTAAAATGCATTTACGTTTGAAAATTGGTGGGCGCACGGTGTGGGTGGGTGTGACACAATGTAGCCTGGCCTAGTGTGCAAAAAACCCTGGAGCCGTTCCTGAGTAGAACCATAGTAACTGTACTTTAACAAGATTGGCAATAACCCACATGAAGTGTAATATGCATAAAAATTATTACATTTGGCTTATATAAAATAAAACCACAGAATTAAATCGAAAAACTATATACTGAAAAGAATAGTCATACCAAAAATATAATTATGGAGGCATAAAATTATTTACAGTACATTAATATAATGTTGTGCTGGTTTTTCTAGAAGGAAAATGACTTTATATTATTTATACACGTTGACATAAGCTTAAAGTTACAAACATTAAAAGGCACACATTATTTTTTTAAAAAAAGAGCAAAGTTTGAGTCCAGTGGCACCTTTAAGACCATCAAAGTTTAATTCTGGGTATAAGCTTTGGTGCACACGCAGACTTCTTCAGATACATTGAAACCAACTTCCTCAAGCCTTACAGATAGGTAGAGAGATTCAGGTGGGGTAGCCCTGTTGGTCTGAAGCAAGAGAAGAAAGTTTGAATCCAGTGGCAACTTGAAGACCAACAAAGTTTTATTCTGGGTATAAGTTTTCATGTGCATGCAATGCACAGACTTCTTCAGATATTTAAAAACACTTCCAAACACTCCCTCTTACCTATATGTATGGACTGGCAACTTCCATTTCAATGTCTCTGAAGAAGTGTGCCTGCACACAAAAGCTTATACCTTAAATGAAACTTTGTTGGTCATAAAAGCGCCCCTGGACGCAAACTTTGTCCTACTTCCAAGCTTTGCTCGCACCTGGTCTTTTTGGCCACGGTGTGACACGGAGTGTTAGACTGGACGGGCCACTGGCCTGATCCAAAGTTGGCTTCTCTTCCCTTGCTCAAAAGCCAGTCAAATCCGACTCTAGGGTTGCGGTGCTCATCTCCGTTTCCAAGCCGAAGAGCCAGCGCTGTCCGAAGACGTTTCCGTGGTCATGTGGACGGCATGACTCAACACATGACTGCACACAAAAGCTTATACGCTGAATGAAACTTTGTTGGTCATAAAAGCGCCCCTGGACGCAAACTTTGTCCTACTTCCAAGCTTTGCTCGCACCTGGTATTTCTGGCCACTGTGTGACACAGAGTGTTAGACTGGACGGTCCACTGGCCTGATCCAACATTGGCTTCTCTTATGTTCTTATAGGCTTATGTTCTTCTGGGCATGCGCAGTTCGAGGCGCGTCCGCAGTCCTGGCAGGGCACTCCGGGCAAGCCGCCGTTCTTTCCCCCCCACTGGCGGAATCCAACATTGGCTTCTCTTATGTTCTTATAGGCTTCTGTTCTTCTGGGCATGCGCAGTTCGAGGCGCGTCCGCAGTCCTGGCAGGGATCTCCGGCCAAGCCGCCATTCATTCCCCCACCCCCGCGGCGCCACTTCCGCCCTCTCGGAAATGACGCACTTCAGCCCGAGCGTGGCCCCGCCCCTCAGCGAGTCCATCCGGGTCCTCGGGTCCTTGTTACCGCGGGGCCGCGGTTGCCATGGACTCCCAAACGCGGAAGCGCCGCGGAGCCAGGCGGCCTGCAGCGGAGCCAGGCGGCCAACCTCGCCCGGGCTGCGCGGGCTGAGATGGTGGAGCGCCCCCCGGCCTGGCTGCAGACGTCGAGCGTGTGGCCTGCGCTGCGCGGGGCTCCTTCGGGCGGCCATGTCTTCTCGGGGGCCCAGCGAGACCGCCTCGGAGCGGGAGCTGGAGCTGGTGAGGGCCGGGGGGGCTTTCGTGGGTCTCCCCGGCTGTGTTCGGTCCGCGCCACAACAACCCTGCGAGGTAGGGAGGCCGAGCCGAGGCGAAATCAGCTAGGAAGGTCCATGGCCCTCTTTGCCTCTGTTCGGCCCTCACAACAACAACCCTGCGAGGGAGGGAGGCCAAGAGAGAGCATCTGGTGCAAAATCACTTGGGAAGGTTCATTGCTGTCCTTGGCTCTCTTTTGGTGCTCACAAGAGCCCTGCGAGGGAGGGAGGACAGGCCGAGAGAGAACAGTTGGTCCAAAGTCACCTGGGAAGGTTCATCGCTGCCCTTGGCTCCATTTGATCCTCACAACAACCCTGCGAGGTAGGGGAGAAGGAGGAGATTGGATTTGTACCCCCGCCCTTAACCACCACACCAAACTGGCTCTCAAGTTGGATTTAGACCCCGCCCTTCACTACCCAAAGGAGTCTCAGAGCGGCTGACAATCTCCTTTCCCTTCCCCTCCCCACAACAGATGCCGTGTGAGGGAGGTCGGGTTGAGAGAGAGCTCTCTCGAGAACTGCCCGTGAGAGACCATCTCTGAGAGAACTTGTGACTGACCCAAGGTGACACCAGCAACTGCATGTAGAGGAGTGGGGAATCAAACCCGATTCTCCCAGATTAGAGTCTGCCGGCTCTTAACCACCACACCAAACTGGCTCTCAAGTTGGATTTATACCCCGCCCTTCACTACCCGAAGGAGTCTCAGAGCGGCTTACAATCCCCTTTCCCTCCCCACAACAGACACCCTGTGAGGTAGGCGGGGCTCAGAGAGAGCTCTCTCGAGAACTGCCCGTGAGAGACCAGCTCTGAGAGAACTTGTGACTGACCCAAGGTCATGCCAGCAGCTGCATGTAGAAGAGTGGGGAATCAAACCTGGTTCTCCCAGATTAGAGTCTGCCACTCTTAACCACCACACCAAACTGGCTCTCAAATTGGATTTATACCCCGCCCTTCACTACCCAAAGGAGTCTCAGAGCAGCTTACAATCTCCTTCCCCTCCCCACAACAGACACCCTGTGGGGGAGGCGGGGCTGAGAGAGCTCTCTCGAGAACTGCCCGTGAGAGACCAGCTCTGAGAGAACTTGTGACTGACTCAAGGTCACGCCAGCAGCTGCATGTAGAGGAGTGGGGAATCAAACCCGGTTCTCCCAGATTAGAGTCTGCCGCTCTTAACCACCACACCAAACTGGCTCTCAAGTTGGATTTATGCCCTGCCCTTCACTACCCGAAGGAGTCTCAGAGTGGCTTACAATCTCCTTTCCCTTCCCCTCCCCACAACAGACACCCTGTGAGTTAAGTGGGGCTGAGAGAGCTCTTTCAAGGACTGCCCTTGAGAGAAGAGCTCTGAGAGAACTATGACTGGCCCAAGAAGAAGAAGGAGGAGGAGGAGGAGATTGGCTTTATACCCCGCCCTTCACTACCCAAAGGAGTCTCAGAGCAGCTGACAATCTCCTTTCCCTTCCTCTCCCCACAACAGACACCCTGTGAGGGAGGTGGGGCTGAGAGAGCTCTGACAGAAACTGCTCTTTTTCAAGGACAGCTCTTGCCAGAACTACGGCTTGCACGTGGAAGGCCAGGGTCTCTAGGCAGAGGCAGGCCATGGCAAAGCACCTACAAATGTCTCTTGCCTTGAAAGCCCCTAGCGGCCTGCCATAAGTTGGCTGCAATTTGTCAGCGCTTTCCACCACCACGAAGTCTCTGGATTTTTCCCTTTCTATCACACATAGCATTTCTGCGGCATTTTGAATGTGCAAAACACTTCACAGATATCTGTCTGTCTATCTGTTTATCTGCATAGCCCGCTTTGCAGCAGACACGCTGGCTAGGCCACGATTCGTATCCTCATATTCAGATGGGAGAGTCCACACAATCAAAGCCTTCCCAGAGCTTCTGTAATTGTAGCTGACTCTGGTCTTGGCTACAGTTCTCATCATCTGAGGTTTCCCTTTCACACGGCGCCAACAGAAGGGGCCCATGGCACCTTTAAAGGCACAGGTATTGTGGCTTTGAGGGTTGGCCAGGCTAGAAGCCCACTTTGCCAAATGTCTATAGCAAGCATCAGAAATTATGACTACACATACGGGTATGGGGTTGTGCTAGGTGGCACTGATGGATTTACGTGACCGAGCGGACTCTACAAGGAGCCCACTGTACAAGAAGAAGCTGAATGTGGCAGAGTTGCATCTTTTGTAGCCCAGGGATTATCAGTGCATTTAGGGATTGGATAAACATATGGAGCCAGAGGTCCATCAGTGGCTATTAGCCACAAGGTAGAGAGGGAACACTCTGTCTGGGGCAGTGATGCTCTGTATCCTTGGGGCAACTGTGGGAGGGCTTCTGGAGTTCTGGGCCTGCTATTGGACCTCCTGATGGCACCTAGGATTTTTGGCCACTGTGTGACACAGAGAGTTGGACCGGGTGGGCCACTGGCCGGGTCCAACATGGCTTCTGTTATCTTCTTGTGTCTGGGGCAGTGATGCTCTGTATTCTTGTTGCTTAGGGGGCCACAGCAGGAGGGCTTGTGGAGTTCTGGCCCCATTGGTGGACCTCCTGATGGCACCTAGGTTTTGGCCACTGTGTGACACAGAGTGTTGGACTGGATGGGCCATTGGCTTGATCCAACATGGCTCCTCTTATGCTCTTAACTCTGATTGGGATGGCATTTGGGAGGTTGTTGCTCCGTACATGCTTTCTTGGGCCTGAGACTAACTGTGCTTGGTTGGGCTGGCTTCTGAGTAAGCGTGCAAAGGGTAGGGCTCCGTGGAAAAGGACAGAGGATTGTCGAGGTCAAGGCCCTGTGGGATCTTCTGCAATTCCGCAGGGCCTGCAAGACGGAGCTCTTCCACCAGGCCTTTAATTAGGAGCCGCCCACTATTGCCATCAATGCCCACTACTAACATCGGGAGCATTGGGCTGGTTGTAGTTGAAAAGGGAGCCATATTATCTTGATATGTTGGGAGACCGCCGAGCCGGGTACTTAATGACACTGTGAGCACATTAATTGTAAATTGGTTTGATAAATGGTTTTAATTGTTTTATATGCACTTGGTACATTGCGCCAAGTAATGTAATCCGCCCTGAGCCCACTCGCGGGGAGGGTGGAATATAAATATGACAAATAATAAATAAATAAGAAAGTGGACACACGGGAACATTGCCTTTGAACATGAAGGTTCCTCTTAACCAGAGGTCACCTACATGGTGCCCGCGAGGAGTAGTTGTTACGGCATGCTGGCACCTTTCTATTTCATTTTAATTGTCCACAGTAGAGGAGAGGAGGGTATCCGGGAGAGTCTAGCTGTTGGAGGTTCACGTATCCACTGATTTGTCCTCTGTGTTAATCTGTCTGCTTTCAAGCTACACGGCCTTCCCTGCTTTGCAGTCCGATCACCACCGTAGGAGGGCGAATTGGATGGGGAAGATGTATTCGGAGATCAGATTCCAAAAAGATAGCAAAAAAAAAATATTCTGCCAATATGCCACAAAGGAAATGTGGCTTCAGGAAATTAAAAGCTCTGCGGCAGGTCGTGAGGGACGTGGGTGCCCAGATGCACTGAGCCAAGCGAGAAAACCGCTTTTATCTCTTCGTGCTCTCCCCCGCCTTTCCTGCCATCCTGGATTTTTTTAAAAAACAAACAAACCCCAACTCTTTGCCTTTCCGCTGAGTAAGATCTAGATCTAACTGAATGGCAGGACTGGCGCTTCTAAGGAGGGTGAAGGCAGCTGCGGAAATGAGCCGCGGGGCCCTTCTTTCGAGGGTGACCTATCTGCAAAAATGAAACAATCTTCCAGTCACTATCTTTTAAAAAGGAAATGAAAATCCTCCCGATGTTCCTTTTTGCTAAGACCAGGTGGGGGGTTGTCAAGCTCACTCATGTACATCTCTGATACCACGGTGTGGTGTTTTAATTTGGAGAACTATGTCTGCTGATCCCTCTGGTTCTGGATCTGGCCCTCTTCGAAAGGCTCAGCAGCTGTATCTTTTTTTTAAGTTCCTTGCTCTCATGATTTCTATGAAAAGCCTAGAAATGTTTGTGCTCTTATCTGGTGCATGCACAGAAACCAGCGCAGGGCTTCCCATAGCTTTAAATCCTAAGGCCACTGTGCTTTGAAGCGATTGGACGCTTTTCTCTAGTTTCTTTCCAACTCTTTCCAAACTGAAGAGCCAGTTTGGTGTAGTAGTTAGGAGCGCGGACTCTAATTTGGGAGAACCGGGTTTGATTCCCCACTCCACATGGAGCTGTTGGTGTGATCTTGGGTCAGTCACAAGTTATTTCAGAGCTGTTCTCTCAAGAGCAGTCCTCGAAAGAGCTCTCTCAGCCCCACCTACCTCGAAGGGTGTCTGTTGTGGGGAGGGGAAGGAAAAGGAGACTGTAAACTGCTCTGAGACTCTGAGTGAAGGGCAGGGTATAAATCCAATCCCTTCTTCTTTCTGTATTGCTTATGAGTCTTTGCCTTGGTCAGCAGTATACCTGGCTTCAGAATGTGGCTGGACAAGTTAAGAGTATAGAAATGGGGTCTGTTAACTCTGGCAGTGATATTTTAAAGTTCGCCTTTAGGCCGGGGCTGTGGCTCAGGGGTAGAGCATCTGCTTGGCACGCAGAAGGTCCTGAGTTCCGTTCCTGGCCTCTCCAGTTAAAAGCACCAAGCAGTAGGTGATGTGAAAGTTCTTGTGCCTGGGAACAGTTGCCAGTCCGAATAGACGATACTGACCTGGACGGACCACCAAGGGTCTGATTCAGTATAAGGCAGCTTTCATAGAATCACAGAGTTCGAAGGGATCTCCAGGTTCATCTAGTCCAACCCCTGCACAATGCAGGAAATTCACAAATACTTCCCCCTCCCATACCCCCAGTGACCCCTGTTCCAAACTGGCCTGGAGAAAGATTGCTTCTTGATCCCCAAGTGGTGATCTGCATTTCCCTGGGCATGTATGAAAGGGCCACGGGAACTAAGTACCGATGTGTGTTTGTCTCTGTTCTGTCTGCCGAGGAAAAGCTATGCCGTGCAAAGGGTTCAGGGTGCACGCTCAGTTCGCACGCGGTGCCGATAGGACCTCTTTGGGCCCCAACATCACTCAGATAAATTGAGAGCCGGAGCCGGATGAGACGGCCGGTCCTCAGCCGATCTGTTCAGAAATCCGATTTAGGTATACTCAGCGGGGCCTACCCCCAGAACAGTGTTCCCAGGATAGGCGCTGTTAACTGGTTCTTGGGATGGTGTCTTGGAGGGCAAGACAGAGCGGTCTTCCAAAGAAGCCTCGGGGTTGAATCCGGAGTACGTTTTCCCGTCGGTGGTATGGAGCTTTACTGCAGCCCCCACCACCACTGTGGCACCCCCCGATCTGCCCAAAATCCTGCTCCTGAGGGATAGGGGACCATGGGGAACGACATAACGGGGTGGGGTGTCTGCGGCAGGAAATGGAAATCGGCCGATATCGCCCCTCCTTTTCTGTTAGCAGAAAATCCAGCCCCGATCCAGCCCTCCCTTTGCCGTTAGCAGTGGCTTCACAGAGGAATCCCCCAGGTTTTCCAGGAACAGAGTTTAATGAAATAGCTTCTGGGCCTCAAAAGCTTCTGCCACAATATATGCATTAATGTTCCAGGTGCCACAAGAAATTTAGTGGCTGGCAGTGCTCTGTGGTCATAGCACACGCCCTCCGCGAACATCACCTTACTAAAACAGCCTGCTGTGTTATACGCTTCCTGAAACACCTCTGCCTGGCCTCGGTCACAGACTGACTCCTGAGCTTGGCTCTGACCATTTTCCTTCAGTCGTTTAGACTGGGTAGTTTGGGTACTTAATGACTGTATACTCGTGTCTGTTCTGCAGGTAGACGACAGTCTTTCTGCGGGCACTTACGAATCTGATACCGAAACGGTGAGTTCAGCCAGCGATACGGGCTTTGTTGCCGGGTATTTATTTACTTCATCTATACCCCGTCGTTCTCTCCAATGGGGACTCAAGGCCGTTTACATCATTCTGTATCCCATTTTATCTGCACAACAATCCTGTGAGGTAGGTTAGGCTGAGACCGTGTGACTAGGCTCAGGCTCATCATGGCACAAGATTGGAAACTTGGTCCCTCAGATGATAGACCAACATACTAACCACACTGGCAACAGATCAATAGAGTTTATGCCGGAGCAAAGTTTGTACTCACATAAAGTAGCCTGCAGCAGATCCTTGAACCTGTGTGTTCAGCCAAACCCTTTTCCCCTCACCCAGAAAAAGGGGCCAGTAGTCCGGAACTGAGACAAATAATATCATAGGAAAATCGCTATCTTAGATTTGTATCTGTATCGAAATTTTATTAAGATATATATTGAATTTTAATATTTTTATATATTTCATGACATCCTGTCTTGTACATTGTCCAGATTCCAGTGTAAGCTGGGATAGGACAATTAATAAATATAAATATAATAATAATAATAATAAGAAGAATGTACAACCAAGTTTTCACCTGGCACTGGTCAGACTGCCATGGAGAGGGCGTTCCACACAGTTCAGGTGCCACCACCAAAAAGGCCCGTTTATCATGTAAGCGGGTCACATTCTGCATTCCAGTAAATAAGTTGCTATTCATGTCTGTACGTCAAGTTTGTACAAATGTTTGTACAGTCTGAAATACCGAAGATTAATTGGAGGTCTACTGAGCTGAATAAGGATGATTATCTTTTAAAAATTAGGTTGGTCTGATGAAAATCTCTGCTTTGGGGCCTGAGAAAATAATTAGAGCTCCACTCACTCTCGTAAATGTCGCTGCCTCGAAGCTTTTGTCCTCTAGTTAGAAAGGTTAATTCTGCTCATTAGCCGCGGTGCGAAAATGGCCCCAAACCTGTCCATCGGTGAATCTCAACACCCAAACGCCTTTTCCTTTCAGAAGCCCAAGAGGAAAGCTTCTCGCAAGCCTCCAAAATCCCCAAGTAAGTCATGGATCAGGTCTTTGTTTTCAATACATCTTGGATCAGGGGTGTTGAATGCATTTGTTATGACGGCCGGAACTGACATAAATGAGACCTTGTCGGGCGGGGCCATGTGTCTCATGAAATGTAATACCAGGTAGCAGAGATATAAACTTTATAAAGGACACAAACACAAAGGGTTTTTTTTTACTTAAAATAAAAACATGCTTAAAACAATTAGCACTCTCGCAATATCTTGTTTATTTAACAGTGTCTGATCACTGACACCTCTTGCTCTGAAATACTGCATCAAAATGTCTGTTCTGTTGCAAGCTTGAGTATGCTGTTCAGGTGTGTATCTGTAAGCTGCAAACCTACAATGATGCAGCAGCAGCAGAACTGGAAGCAGAAGACAGCCACCGTGGGCCTGATAGAAGCCCTCCGGGGGCCTGATCCGGCCCCCGGGCTGCATGTTTGACACCACTGACTTGGATGAAACGCGTCCAGAGGAAGCTCAAGCTGGAAATAAGAAAAGGATACAGGGAGGGGGCATTGCCATGTAGGGTCAGGAAAGTACCTGTCTGGGTGTACCCGGCCCGCTTTCCGGGGTGGCATTTTCCAGCACAGGAGTAGCCTGGGAGGAAGGGGTTAGAAAGAAGAAGAAGAGACTGGATTTATACCCCACCCTTCATTACACGAAGGAGTCTCAGAGCGGCTTACGATCTCCTTCCCTTCCCCACAACAGACACCCTATGAAGTAGGTGGGGCTGAGAGAGCTCTTCCAAGAACTGCTCTTGAGAGAACAGCTCTGAGAAAACGTGTGACCAACTTGCGACTGACCCAAGGTCACACCAGCAGCTGCACATGGAGGAGTAGGGAATCAAACTTGGTGCTCCCAGATTAGACTCCGCGCTCCTAACCACTTGCACCAAACTGGCTGCTTGTATTGTTTTCTTCTTCCAATCGGCAGCCCTGGCAGCGGACTGTTCCCTCTAAGCTGAGTTAGTGTGAGCCAGCTCACCGTTTTTTAGCCTCCAGCTCACACATTTTTGTCTCCGCTCAGGAAGGATGGGGCTTCAGAGCAAACTCATTTTATGCAGCAGCCAAATCACTCGCTCACAACTTTAATGCCGGTAGGTCACAAAGTAGGTTTTTTGCTCACAAGACTCCACAGCTTAAAGGCAACATTGATCAGAACTATCGTGTAACTTTGGAGTTTGCATCAAACTCTTCATCGGCAGTCTGTCAGAACCCACAGCCAACAGCGGAGTACACACTTCTTTAGAAAGGTGATACTTTTATTGAAGAGCCCTAGATGCATTAACATAGTCACTGTTAAGAATAGCAGTTGCCTCTTGAACCTAATGAGATATAGGGCATTCGTTTGCACCCCCCCCCCGAACTGCACTGGCCAATTAGGCACCCTCCCATGTGTGGGCTAGAACCAGCAAGCGTTGCTATGCGAAGCTGGGAATATTTCGGCCCCCACAGCTGGCTACCTGTACTTCTTTAGAGATAAGCATTTCAGCGCTAAGCGGACAGAAAGCAGAGAGAAAGGAATGCGAAGGCCATTTACACAGACACTGTAAGAACATCCCAACCCCCATGGCAGCATAGCTGACACAGTCCTGTAGCCAGGATTTTTTAAAATTTGGGGGCCCCTTAAACAAGTCAGGGGGCACCCTGCACACACCCCGGCACACGTACACCCAAGTGACCACCAAGGAATAGCAGGGTCGCTTCCCAGAGAGGCGGGCAACAGCAAACCATCTCTGAATGTCTATTTCCTGACCCGGATGGCCCAGGCTAGCCTGAAATTGTCAGCTCTGGGAAGCTAAGCAGGGTCGGCCCTGGTCAGTCTTTGGAGGGGAGGCCACCAAGGAAGTCCAGGGTGGCTACGCAGAGGCAGGCAACGGCAAGCCCACCTCTGAACGTCTCTTGCCTTGGAAACACGATGGCATCGCCAGAAGTTGCCTGTGACCTGACAGCAAGATAATAATAATTATTATTGGTAAACGAAAGGAGCCCCTTGCATTGCCACCGCTGGAATACAACTGTTAATCTTGAAACCACTTCAACACAGGGGGTGTGGGAACCAGCGCTCCCCCCTAAGATGTGGAGTCTCGTGAGCAGAAATCCTACTTTGTGAGCTATCGGCGTTAAAGTTGTGAGCGAGCGACTTGGCTCCTGCAGAAATCAGTTTGCTCTGCAGACGAATCCCTCCTGCGCTAAGACGAAAACCTGTGAGCCGGAGGCTAAAGAACTGTGAGCTAGCTCACACTAACTCAGCTTAGAGGGGACATGGGCGGGAACATCCTGACAGAACCCCAGCGCTTTGGGTTCTCCGGTGTAGCCCCATCCGTGGTGTGTTCCTCTCGCAAAGCTGGCTGCTCCAGAACTGGAGATTGGGCTCTTTTGTTACCCCAAAGAACTGTGGGGGTTGACACCCACTGCAGAATAAACAGGGCAGCCAGCCGGTCGCTTTAAAAGGAGCTCATCTTTGCGACATGGCAAAGTTTCCCCCCGAGTTCAGCCTCTCATACGGTCAGCAAGGTCCGGTTGCCACTTGGCGTACATTTTTGGCGCCGTCAATGATG